TGAATTTATATACCACATCCCAATTTCTGATGTCATGGATAAATGATAAATGGTTGGCTAACTTTTTAGATACACCTTACAGATCGATTAAAAAAAAATATCTTCTTGCATTATCAAATAGCTAGAAAAAGTATTATCTTCTTTCTTAATCACGCGATCTACCTTTTTAATATAGTTTCATAGAAGAAGAAAAATTGTAATGTAGACAGTTATAGTTTCTTTGACAAGTGCGTAATTATTTTTTCTTAAATATTTGTATGATGTCATATCAGGTCGCTCCATGGTGTACAAATCAAACTGTAAAACGCTAGCCAAAGATAAACATGGGTAAGGAAAACCAGTTCAGATGATCAAATAAATACAAGGTCTGTAAAATGGAAAAAAATGTTTTAATTCTCATCCGAAAATTGAATAACATTAAAATATAACATTTAAGTTGAAAATTCAAAAATTATCGTAACGCAATACATTCATGAGAAAAATGTTTTCTCTTTCACAGTTGAGCAGGGGTACCCATCCTTCCCCTCTCCCCCCAGGTCGATGGCGCAATAACCTACTCCCTCTTCCTCCCAAGATATTGTATTGCTCACCTTTTCATACAAACAGAGCATGAGAAAGTAGTATTAGAAAAATCGTAGATCATACACAATTACACTTGCTACGGTCTGTTACACGTGTTCTCCTTGCCCGTTATTCAAAAACTTTTCATACCCAAAATTCATAACCCAGTTGAAATTTGCAACTCTCAAAAATTCAAAAACCCGTCAAAATATGCCCCTCCCCCTAAAAAAGTTTGATGGCGCAACTTGTGCGATAAAACGTCCTTCTGGGCACCCCAGCAATTGAGCAGGTATGATAAGATGGTACAGACCAACGTAAAGGCGTATAAATGCGAAGGTGTCAATGCAACGACATGTTCTATTAGCTATCAGGTCAAACCTGTTATTGTGACAAAACTACCTCGGTAGTAAATGTAGACATGAATACAATTTTATGAGGTTCACACGATGGCAGAAGTTGCGACAGTTGTTCTCATGACTGCAACTGATTAGCTGCAGATATGATGCTGTGCAAACAGATATGATTAGGGTAATATTTAAACCATAATTCTAATACCTATAATGATTAAATTTTCGATCAGGATATAACTACAAACTTATTATCAACAACGAGGGTTCGAAAGAACATTGACCTCTTCTTTCTTTGAACTGCCATTTCTTCCTGATAGCCTAGGTCTTGAAGAATTTATATGGAACTAGCTTGCTTCAGTTACTGATCAATAAACCCTCTCTAAATATTTTAATAAGGTTTATTTTTTCTGTTCAATATTCTATCATAATATTGAGGCATGTCGACATCTGCATTGCCCAGTCTATTTGAGTTGTGGTTTAGAAGTTCAAAAAGAATGTGGTTCACAGATCAGGTACGGCATTTGGTCGAAACATTGAAGCCTGAATCGGATGATTTGACGGAGAAGTATATCAACGATAGTTATTGGTGGATGACACAAATCTCAATGCTTTACCTGAAAATGGACGAAAAACATCGTCTATTGAGCACATTGCAATTTGTGGCTTACTATAGCGTTATGCTTTTCCATTTTATTCTTCTAATATATACATCATTTATCTTATTCAAGATCGACTTCATAATCTTCACTCAGAGCGTACATCTCGCTCTCTTGACGTTCTTAGTAGGGACCGTCGTATTAGATTTTCAGAGACACCGCAAAGCCTTCTTCCGCTTGCATCGTATGATGGCCGCAGATTTCTATGACTACAATGAACCAGAATTGGAGGAAGTTTCAAAACTTCATAAAGAAATGCTACAACAGAGGAAGAGGCTGACAGTGATACCAACATCCGCGATTGTAGCTTCCGGTGCAGTCCTCGTTCTCACATCGATGATGGATAAATATGGTACCTTCGATTTTGAAAGAATAGCTGGAGTAACAAGCGACAACCTTCCTTACGCTTTCGGGGTCTATCCTTACTACAACAAAGACGGTTTTGGCTATTACTTATCCTTCGTCCTGCAAATGATGCTTGCATTCGTCCTGGCGTCTCCCATTGGAACTGCAGGTTACACTTACACTGTAATCACCCAGAACATAATATTGCAGCTTAAAATTTTAATTGTATCAATTGAAAATTTGGAAAAACGGACTTTAAACCTTAATCAGCATACTTTCCCTAACAAATATTTACCTTATTCTGATAGGAAGTATGAGTTACAAGAATTTTCTCATTGCTACGAAGAATGCTTAAGGAAAAATTTTGAACACCATCAAATAATAATAAGGTTATAATAATAATCATGTTAAGGAAATAATTTTAATTATTAACTTTTATGTTTGCAGTGAGGTTATTAATAATCTTCCAACGTGGACTCCTTTCTTCTGTCAATTTGCTTCCTTACTACCGAAGCTTTATATACAAGTCGGAAGTTCAAACAATTTCGTTCTCAAATTGACCATTAAAACGTATTTTATGTTTTATACATCGAACGATTTTGATTACTTCCGTGTCAGCCAATTTCACGTAACCTGCATGTCACATATTATCATTAATCGGATTTTTATAAAATTATTGGAGATTTTCTGATAAGATACCGAGATGTTTTCCTTAAGTCGTATGACTTAATGTCTTCCGCCATAGGACATTTACTCGACAGCCCAATAAGGTGTTGAAAGGCCAAAGATTACAATTCATGTTTACAAAGACGGGTTCTTGTGAAGCGATATTGTATACGTTTCGTGTCATCTATAGTTTTGTTACCCTGATTCTATCCAGACGTTGATTGCAATGGAGATCAAGAGCACGTATATAAGTAACATATGAGAAATATAAGTAAAATATGAGGAAGATAAATGATTCTGTGACGTAAAGATTCGTATTTAACTTAACAAAAGGACGAAGTAAACACAATTCCCGACAGACTGACTATTCCCAGAATAAAACTTGCTTGAACTAATAAAAAACTGCCTTCCTTGTTTTTACTTGAATTCTCACTCTTTTCTCAGTACCTCTTCCGGCTTTGAAGTGAATCGTAACTGTCATGAATTCGGCATCAATAATATCCGATTTGAAATTCATAAAATCAGATTACTGAGGAGCTTTCCGCTAACCGCTAAATTCTGAGGAATTTCCGCTAACATTGATTCAGTTAGAATCTTTATATTTGTCACTTAATAAACATATTGAAATTATAGAAACTGTAAGAGAAAATATTTAAAAAAATCATTAATGAAAAAGGAAAAATTATTTTTCAAAAACAAATTCCGAAATGTGTAATTTTGTAAATTTCAACTGGATTGTAAAATAAAGTTTTCATTATAATGTGGACAACTTATGATTATGTATGTACATATATATTATTTTTATAATTTTTTTTTATTATTCATGATATTTACAACTGTATTAATAAATAAAATACATTTAGTAAATTTGATAACAGAAAATAATAACATGAAATCACTTGTTGAGAAACTACCCACTGGTAGCTCTAAAAACAAAATGTATTTACAATAAGAGATCTCGAGGCCATCTTCTTACCCCTCGGAGGGTTATCAGGGATAGAAGAGGAAACAAGGTTAGAGACGAGAGGATTCGGATGGTTCTGAAGTTTATTATGAAAGGATTGGTATCTGGATAGGGCCAAATCGGAAACATATGGGACATTAAGGTCATTATGGATTATTTTATTGGTGACAAAGTAAGGGCATTGAGAATTTTCCGAAGGATTTTGGATTGTAAGAATTGGATACGAGAGGAATTCGATGGCTTAGTGGAGCCCCAAAGCACAACTCCGTAAGTCCAAAAAGGTCTTATATATGAGTCTTTTGTAATTAACTGGAAGCTTAGAGCGTTTGTCTTGTAAGTGTTGGAGTAGGCGGAAACGTCGAGCGGTTTCTTGTCGTTTCAGTCTGGTATCAGGATTTGAAGTTAGACGTTTGTCCAAGTGAAGTCCAAGGTATCAGATTTGTTCAACAGGGATCAGTGAGGTATTATTAAAGGATGCTGTGGGACATGAGGTCATAGGTTTACATCGAAGGGTAAAGGTGATTTGATGGGATTTATTAGAATTTATTTTAATCCTCCAGTTTTGACACCATTCTTCAAGCCTTGTGATGTGTGATTGAAGAGTTTGGGATGCAATGGTTGGGTCATTATTAACGGATAGGACACATGGATAAGACATCGGCATACTTTGTAATAACAGTGTTATTTTTTTATAATTAAAATTCAATATCTGAAATCAATTGGTCTGTAATATATACTTATTCTTCCTACCTTTAATCTTTTTAAGTTCCTCTACATTACTTCTTTCTTTGTATGTGCCAGTCAATTAGCCAATTTAAGGGAAATTTTAACAAATAGATTTAATTATTTGTCAGTTGATTATTGAGAGCTTTCTGCATTTTTTTTTTTTTTAGAAAAGGACTGGATAAGGAAAATAATTAAATGATTTTGTAAGAAAATAAATTCTACATTATTAATTGTACTATTATTTTTTCTCCTCTCATAATTATGCCAGGTCATCTACTGATGGTCGATAGCTGTAATTGAGAAGTGCGGATATATATGGTTAACGAAATTGCAAAAAAGAAATAAAAAATAATGTGAATTTATTATAAGTGTTTTTATTAATTTATTGTGTTAAGTATAACTTGAAATTATAATATTTAATATAATAACGAAGAGAACGCTTTACTGATGTATTTGACAGATATTTTTTACATTAGAATCACTCGATTATATTCGAATAGCGTTGGCGTGATGTATTTTTAATAATCTTTTTTCCATTGAACTGAAATTGAGGTCTTGTAGCAAACATTAATATTAGATAGAGTTTTTTGCACTAGAGTCAATAAATTATGCTGCATCTCATGCTTGGTTCTTTTTATACATTTCAGGGTCAATTCATCTTTTTCTGTTAATACCTCATAGTATATTGTCAATATTAGCAACATTTTGCTCAGTTCATGCTGAAAACCCAATATGTTGCCAACAGACAAAGTAGGTGATTTGGTCGAAAAATCGAGTGTCGAATCTGATGACTTGACCGAGAAATTCATCGACAACAGCTACTACTACTTAACACAGTTCTCTTTACTATATCTGAAGATGGATAAAAAACATCGCTTACTTAGCACAATCCAGTTTTTAGTGTACTACGCGATTATAGGATTTCACCTCACCCTTCTCATACGTACATCCTTCGCTTTATTGAGCATAAACTTTATCATTTTCGTCCACAACACCCATATTGCGCTCCTTACTATTCTTGTAGCGACCGTAGTGGTCGATTTCCAACGGCACCGTAGTGCCTTCTTACATCTGCACCGAATGATAGCTACAGACTTCTATGACTACCACGAACCAGAACTGGAGGCCGTCTCGAAGAATCGGGAGGATATGCTGCGGCAGAGGAGACGCCTTGCCGTGGTTCCGGTCTCTTCCTGTATAGCCAGCGGTGCGGCTCTCGTTCTGGCCAACGTCTTGGATAGGCTGGGCACCTTCGACTTCAACAAGACGGATGATCTCGTCAGTGAAGATCTTCCTTATGGCTTTGGGGTGTACCCTTACAACACGAAAGACGGTCCTGGATATTACATATCATCCCTTCTGCAAGTGATGCACGCGGTGGTTCTCGCATCTCCGATCGGGATGTCCGGCTGGACGTACATCGTTCTTACACAAAATATTACGTTACAGTTGAAGATATTGACGGCGTCAATTGAAAGTTTGGAAGAGCGCGCCAAGCACATGTGCGAGCGTGTATTTCCCGGCCGATTCGATGGTTCTTCGCAGAAGTCCTTCGACAGTAAAGAATTCGTATATTGTTATAACAAATGCTTAAATAAAAATTTTGAACATCATCAAATTATAATAAGGTATTATTGTTCTTGAGAAATATAATATTTTTATCTCACTATATTTTTTTTTTTTTTGTTTTCTGATTAAACTGCTAACGAAAATGCAACTACGCATTAAGAGATAATTCTAAAAACTCATTAAATAATGTATGAATAGATCAAAAATTATTTATTTTTATTTTATGTCATCATATTCCACAATAACATCATTTTTAATTATGAATATACTTTTGTATATTAATACACACTTGTTGGATTTAAGTATATTTATTATTTAAACAATATACTTTTTGCCGTAGTGCATTCTTCAGCTTGAAGGAACTATTCTCGGTGCCGGTGTTTTTGTCCTACATGGTGGGCACTATCGTAATTGCCCTGAGTCTTCTTTCAACCGGCTCAGTAAGTATTTATGTGTCTTATAAAATAATTAATAATGTTAATGATACGAGGGAATGTAATATATTATATGCTGAAGGAGGACTTGCACAAGCCATATCCACTATTTTCCAAGAGGTCTGACTCAGCATTCCTAGATCTGTATAATTCCATCTTCCTTTAGATCACACACGATCTTTCAGATCATCTATATATTTTGTTCCGATTATTATAATTATTTTATTTTGTTTAAATAATTGTTAATTGTATTTTATTGCTTATTAAAGTTTATTTTGTAATTATTTAATGCAGATATCATCATTTATTTTATAATATTTATATATTTTTATTGTAGGGAATTGAACTTCCAGGAACAACAATTGCATCGGTATTACTTTGTTTCGCAGAGGTCGGATTCATGTACCTTTTCTCCGTGTTCAGTCAATACATTACTGATTTGGTAATATAAGTTTAGTATTTATTTTATAAGTTAATTTTACTCAGCTTTTCCAAGGAATGTAGCATCTATTCCGGACATATGTTTTATAAATAAATAATTCTCATCACTAATAAATAATAAAACCTATTGAAATTAAAATAGAACATACCTGAGGTGGTTGAAGTTAATTCTCCCTCTCTCAAGATAAACAAAAAACCTACATAAAAGTGTTGACAAATAAATAAAAATAATAAAGCTTAGCTAAATATAAATTAAAATAAAGAATAAGTAAAATTACATATATTATGTAATATTTGCTTAATATTATTGCATTTCTTCTTTTTCCTCGTTATCTCTTCCTCGCCATTTCTGACGTACGACGGGTTTTTCTAGAGGTATAACCAAACCTATTCTAACCAGAGTGAAAAGATCGAAATTCATTCCGTGGGTCCGTCACAAAATAAATTTTGACCCGCCTAGATTGGATTCGAACCGACTCTAGAATGTTAAACTTTACGGTTTAACAGACTTGGAAAAATGATTCCAGGGGACCTCGGTTTCTCTTCGAGGCCGAACAATAAAGATTCTAAAAATAAAACGGTTTTTAAAAAAAAATCCAAAATTAAATTCTGGAACGTAGCAGTAACGATAAAGCGTACTTTATCTGGTGTCCATACACGTTTCCATATAATCCGGCTCAAAGTATCTATATTATTTATTGTTTATTGTATATTGTTTGAATGCTCAAAGCTCTGGAAGTAACGCTCCGATTTGAAAAATTATTTTTGCATTAGATAGACTGTTTAAAGACTCCGGTTTAAGGCTTAGAGGAGCAGTAACAATAAACACAGGTTTTTATGGGGCACATTATAATGGGGTTTTGAACTTTTGAGGAGGCGCATTACGAAGGGGTTATGAATTTTCGGGATGAATTAAGCCACTATGGGAAACCAATAGAATATTCCACATCTATATACTCTGCATATGTATATTCTCTGCGATTAGTCTATTTCTACTTTCTATTTTATATTATAATAGAAAATATTTTTTGTGGAAATAAGATGTCTTGGGGGGAGGGAGGGAGGGGGAATTCGTGCGCCATCGACCGGGTTCCTCTTCATAAACATCACTTTAGAAGATGTGTCTCAATTTCCAAACCCGTGGTAGCGAGTTAACTACATAAACGTCTTAATGATTGTGCAGTTATTATTCAACTAGCTTTGCTCCTCCTTAAACTTGGATTGGACTGGCCTATTCACACACCTGATAAGTACATGACCAAGTACATTACATTAACTAGATAACACACGGTTGCAAACTGAGACAACGCGTCGTCAGGTTGATAACTTTAAACTTTCATATCTTTTACTTTATGTTTTTACTTGAGTTTGGCTAAACGACAAGGAGGGTTATGCGTTAGGGGTGACCGCTTGTTGGTATGTAACCATTGGTTGAGCGAGTGGCTTAACAGATTTTTAAGTTCGATGGATCAAATTATCAAGCGAGATCTCGTGAGTGTTTTAATTTGTCCGCCAAAAAGAATGTAACGATTTTTTGAGGGAACGGCTGGACCGATTTTTAATATTGATAGCTGAAATTAAAGTGGAAGTGAAACACCGAAAGTGTTTATAGAATTCAACCTTGGTAAATTATTTGTATTCTGATGTACCGGTGCATGCAAGCATCCTAAAGTTTGAGTTTCGTCAACTCAACATATCGAAGGTACCCTACTTTAAATATTCGCAGACGTCAAATTCCCTAACCACTTGCCAAATTGTTTAAATAGATACACATTTCCTTATGATGGATAATGTTTCCCGAATTTTTTAGTGGACGTGCTTTTTTATAATTAAATATATTTTTAGAAACTATTTAAAGAAAACTTATAATTCTTTAAGCTTAAACGACATTCTCAGTTCTTTCACTCTGCGGTATAATTATATACAGATTTTATCCCTGAACTGATAGAGGTAAGGAAGCATGTAGTTGTTTATCGAAAAAATAGTTTCTCTCAGGTCGACTCCCATGCTGTCGTATAACAGATTTTAGAGTATATTCTAAAAAACTTAATATATATTTTTTTAAAGGTATATTCTGCATTACTAATATCGTACATGTTGCAGAGCATGGACCTCCGGTTCACAATGTACAGTACCAAATGGTACTATTGCAACAAGACCACAGCACAGAGCATCGCCATATTTCAAACTATGACTCTCAAACCGATGACTTTGACGGCTGGTGGAATAGTACCAGCCAATATGGATACGTTTGGAAAAGTAACCTATTATTTCCATAATTTATTTTTATTTTTTTTAATTTGAAATAACTTTTTTTTTTTTCTTTTTCAGGTAATGAACAGCGCATACTCTTATTACAACGTTGTAAATGCCTTCAACATTACAGTTTAAATCTGCCATCTACTAAAATTAACTGTGTAGCAATGTAACAAATATAAATTGATGAATTATTGTATCGTCTCCAATTAAAACATAGTTATGCACTATAAGCCTACTTTACCATGTCCACTTCAAATGTCTATTAATTAACAACACTAATAAAATTAGAATGGATAAAATGGTAATTCAACGATCACACTAAAAATGTTTGATTTGTTTTTCTATTTTCCTCCTATGGACAGGATCCTTCTTTATCATTTATTTTTAGAAACCGTTATTTTACGTTATTTTTTATTTCTTACGTTAGCAGATCTTACGTCGGTCTATTTTAAACTAAACTGTGTAAGGTAAAAATGAAAGTATTGATATAGAACATTTTAATAACTTCTGATGATCAAATAAATTTTGATCTTCACCATGTTTCGAGAAGGGCTAACGCACCATCAGGAAAACTGAGCATTAATAGTTGTTTTGGCATTATTAAAAATTATTTTGCTAATATAAATAACACATTCTAAATCAAAACCCATTTCAGCCCTCTTACCTCTTCTGGAAAATGACCAACAGGTGTTTTTTTTTTATGTTGCTTTATATCTTGCAGTAATGTTTTAAAATTTCAAAATCCTTCATATCGATTTTTTTTTTAAATTCGTATATTAAATCTTGTATGACGACATACTTGGACTCACGGGATTATATTTCCAAAAAGGCTAGATTGTAGAAAACAAACCAGACTTCCTCTAAGATTTCATTTTAGATCTTGGACATTGTACCCAGACAAGGGCGTATACGCAGCTTTCATATTAGGGAAGAGGGTCAAAAAGGACTTAATAAAGGAAAATCTGAGGTAGATAAATGAATCCAAACTCAGTAATATTATACTAGACAGTTTATTGTTATTACAATTTATATATATTTTTATAAGAAACACAGTATATAGGTATACATAGAACAATTATTTTTCTTGAATTTTCCACATTTTTTTTTTTTACAACTCCTTTCAAATCATTTAGCCCTCTCCCTCTTTCCCCGCCTTCCCTTGCGTACTTCCATGTACCCATGTATAGAGGTGGTGTCAGATTTAGCAAATAATCCTCATAATGATTCAAAAGACTAACGATTGATTGATTATAATGAAGTATGTATTAAAAAAACAATGAACTATGAACCATTCGAATGAAAATTTTCTAATTCTAAATGTTTCGGTTGATGGACGTTCTGCCGTATTTTTTATTAATAAAAAAAAAGTTGATGAATATGCATTGCTAATCTGCTATCCAAGACACGGCGATAAAAAAAAAAAAAAAAATCGAATCCATCCAACGTTGGCTGGGACATGCTAAGAATGCTCTTAAAAATTAACTGACTTCAGTTGGTAACAGTTAAGAGAAAAAACATGATAGTAACAATCCATAAAAAACAAAAACAAAAAAGAAATGTTTAATAAATAATAATCTTAAAAAAAAAAACCGAGAGCGATTTTTGTACCTCTAAGAAGTTCGAGATCGATTTAAAATAACCCATTTTTACTCGCTTAGTAAAAATACGCAATATCTTTACATAAAATTTGTTTTGTTTTATAAATTACCACTGAATTTCTTATAAAATATGATATTGACAACAATTATAAATTAAAGATATTTAAATCAAAACTGCTTTCTAATGTCGATTGTATAGGTATGATTGTGTTTAGAATAGGTATGATTGTGTTTAGAAGTTTTTATTTTATTTTATTTGTTTATTTTATTTTTATTTAACTTCTTCACCAGTATTATTTATTTACTTACTATATTTATATTTACTTCTTTATTATTTGTATATATTGTATGAATGAGAACTTTTAGCCCTAATGCTTATAGCCCTCCAGCAGTGGCTGATTGTATTATTATTCAATAAACAGATTAAAAAGTAAAAGTAAAATGTCGATTGAAATTTCAGAAAAATTTGTTCTTAACTTTCTGGTTGTCCAATTATAGTACAAGGGAGAGGGAAAACTAGTCGGTAGAATATATTGAGAGCCCATTCTAGAACAATTTTATTTAAGTAACAATAATATTTTTTTTTGTTTTTAATTTTTTAAACTTGATTTCCGTCAATAAAACGAGTTAATTACCTAAAATACATTATAAAACTGTTGAATTTTATTGTTGAGGGAAAGGAGTGAAATAATGGGATGCAAAATTAAACTTACCTAGACAAACATTTGTTATGTTTTCCTTTTTATTCAGCAAAACTATTTATTCAAATATCACCATATAATTAACCCAAAAAAATAATGATTTTTAATATTATTTCTTATAGATATGAAAACAATTAATTTTAGGATTAAACCATTAGATGCAAGAAAGGGAAAGAGAGGAATTTATCCTAGGGTTGCTGGATTTACCAAGCTTCAGTGCAGGACAGTACTAAATCAGCATAAAGTAATGATGGACATCCCTTCAGTCAAAAACATTATAACACATTGTCTATAATTGAAAATGATATACATTTTTACTAAGAAAATTAATATACTGGGTATTATTTCCAATAACGCAAGCCTATAATATTATACATGAAGTATATCAAATTGCATAACACTAATTATAAATTTAAAAGTAATTATTGATGTATTGACAGATAGTCCATGTAGTTCCAAAATTTATATTCTTGGTTACCTACGCACATTTTAATGATGGTACATTACTTTTTATATTAATCATCAACGAATGTCATACAATCTTTTTGAGAATCCACAGTAATTCTGCTTTAAATAGATCTAGGGAACATTTATTCTTCTTATTAATCTATTTAATGTTAATGATTAAAATGATGCGTTCTACAGATGATGAGGAAGGAAGTTTTGTTAGGAATTAAACTGTATGAACTGCTCAATCTGAAATATAGATTAAAATAATTTGGAATGTGAAGTACACTTCTAACGAAAGTAGGACTCCTAGTAACTGCTGTGGAGTGTAGACCAAGTTATACAAATTGTCCTGCTAAAGTAGGATGCCTAAAACCCTAAGCTAGCTTCCCTTCCAACATAAAAAAATAATTAAATAAAAATAAAATCTCAAAATATATAAGCAAATAATTACTGAAAAAAAAATTGTTGGCAATAACAGGCTGATTGATAATTAAAATTTTTGTTAAGCTTTCTCTCTGCCTTAAATTTAGGATATTTGCAATGATGGAAAAATAAAATAAAAAATATTCACAATTTCATTCAGAAATACATGTTTACCATATCTTACACATGTATACTAAGACAAGTTTCATGTCCATGGCCAACTTCTCCTTAAATAACATCTATGGTCAACTACATTCATAAATTATTTAACTTTATATTTCTCTATTGCAAGTATCTGTTGATTTAAAAAATTGAAAAAAAAAACTCTTGTTTCAGCCACCTACAATTCTGCTTTTTTGGTTAATTGTTTAATAATGGTGAAAAATTATTTTTTTGAGAATTTCTATCTTTCTTTTTCCCATATTACGATGAATTTCACATATTAGATGAAGTTAGTGCCACCAGATGCCTAAGTTTATTCTTACCTTAAATACCAAACAACACACAAAGAAAACAACAGTTAATGAAAATCTTTCGATGAGGCTTTTTCTTTCTTCTATTTTATTAAATAGCAATGATTAGATTGCTAATAACATTTCACCAAATTTAATTTTAATTCAGAGGTAACCTCATAATAGTAACCTTTTCATACTATTCAAAATATGTTCTTGGAAGGAATTGAAGGAATAGTAATTACAGAAAAATTCATAGCGATTGTAATTACAGAGTATTCTCATTCAGTCAGATCAAGTACTTGTTTGTCACTTTTACAGGTCTCATATAGTTCTGATGAATGAACGATATGCAGATGCTTGATTATTTCCAGAACTGTAGAATAAGATTTGGGGCAACCGCGACACTTGTAGATAGATTGGCCATTTTCTTCTCTGCCTGTTAACAATAAATGTAATTAGGTATATATATTTCAAAATAATAACCCATACCATGTATCAATAATAGAATGAAGATACTACTAAAAAAATCATTGAAGGTTTCACTCTACACTTTTAAATACCTCATCATTAAAACACACTCAATATTCCTAATACCTTCTCTAAATTTTTCCAACATTATTACTCAACCAGCTCATGGTTGATTGCTTCTTTTTTTGGGAGGAGAGGGGGGAGGGGAATATCTTGCTGTTTTATCAATAATTTTAAGGTCTGTCTATTTTCATAGACGATTTCAACATTTTTCTCAATCCTCTTCAGCTCAATTGAACATGAGATACAAAAAACATGATCATATAGAATAAATTTAACAATTAATCACATTACCATAACAATGTTTATTTATTTCTATAAATTAGTTTTTTTTCTGTTTTTCATCTAATTTACTTCCTGATAAGTCGAAACATTAATAATTATTGAATATTCAATAGTTGACGGTAGTATACTGAGGAAAGAAATGGTCTGGCGTGGCGGTCATAAAAAAAAAAAAAACTTAGTATATTGCAAATAGTTTCCAATATTTTAAGTTTCTTCTTTTATGACATCCCAGACCATCTCTTTTCTCATTAAAAATTATAATTATTCAATAAATTATAGAAACAAAGCAACCATTATTATTATTATTTTATTTGTCAACACTTTTACAAAAGGTTTTTTGTTTAGTTGAGATGGGGAGAATCAACTTCAACCATCTCAGGTATGTTCTATTTTAATTTCTATTGGATGTAGAGAAAGCTTCTTACAATTCTGGCAGTATTCAACAGCACAGCTTTCTGAGCTTCATTTATTACATTAGTTGGGAGGCCCAGCTTGTCAGTAGCTTCCACAGTAATGCCCCAAACAGTTACTTTATTAACTTTATACAAACTTTTTAACTCAGCTGCTAGAGCTTGATACTTCCGATTTTTTTCCGCACAGACTGAGTTAATGTTTCCGTCATTTGGTACAGCAATATCTATAATCTCAGCTACCTAATATTAGCGTCAATTAACACAATATCAGGTCTGTTGTGAGTCACGAGATGGTCTGTTATAAATGATTGATTCCAATATAATTTTATACCATCTTTCTGGCAGAGACGTTTAGGGCTGTATTTATAGTAGGACACCGAATGGCAACATTGTCATGTCTTTTTATGTATTCTGTACCTGCAAGAGCTCCGCAGCCTCCAGTTATTATTATTAGTCTTTATTCTTTATCACTTTAAATAAAAAGTATTTTCCAGGAGTGGGGAAGAATTAACTTCAACCACTTCACGTTAATTTTTGTAGTTTTATTGGATATTTAGGAAGCTCCTTACGATTCTTGCAGTGTTCAGCAGCACAGCTTTCTGGGCTTCATTTATCGCAGCTGTTGAGATGCCCAACTTCTCGGTAGCTTCTATAGTGGATTTTGGAATCAACCCATTGCTAGAGATCAGTAAAGCCCTTACTGTCACTTTGTTCAGTCTGTACAGATCTTTTAACTCGGCTGCAAGAGTTTGATATTTTCGATTTTTTTTGGCACAGACTGAGTTGGTGTTCTCATCATTTGGTACAGCGATATCTATTATCTCAGCTGTCTTCTTAATACTGCTGATCAACACAATATCAGGTCTGTTAAGGAGCACAGTATGGTCTGTTATAAAAGATTGATTCCAATACAATTTCATTCCTTCCTTCTAGATAAGCTCCTTAGGGTTGTACTTATAATAAGGTATTGAATCATTCATTAACTTTCTATTTAGACCAATTGCCTGATGATAAATTTTTGCAACATCGTCATGTCTCTTGAGGTATTCTGTACCAGCCAGTGCTCCGCACCCTCAAGTTATGTTATTATTATTATTTTTATCATTATTAGAATTTGAGGATCACAAAACAAGATTGATTGACCTTAGTATATTTAAAATATAAAATTGGTTGGTGACATCTTTTTTTAAGGTGTTAGGAGAGCAGGATATATCTGAGGTAAATTATAATGGAAGGCAGAGAGTAGGAAAAGATAAATATAGCTACATGCAAACATGAACGGTGGTAACGTGCAGTGGTCCAGAAAACTAAAATTAAGTATTTAGTACAACACTTTGAGACAAAAAAATTAGCTATCTTCAAATGATATGTAACTGTAAAATTCTTCTGTTCAAAGTTGGAATTGATCATCATTAATTGTGATCTAAAACTTATTGAACAATTATAAGAAAATAATATATAATCTCACCTTGGTACCACATAAGGATGCCTCACATTGACAGTAAATTAATTTCAATTTTATAACATAAAAATGTTAATTAAAATTAATTTCAATATAATTTTGAAAATCAAGGGCTATTCTGACGGAAGACTAAGAAGACCTGTTGAGAATTTCTGTGTAGAATGTAAGTTATAATAAATGTAACAGGAGAAAAAACCTCAGTTAATCTTAAATTTTTTAAACCCCAAAAAATAAAACTTTTTAATCCTTGTTATTTTTTTTTAATTTCTAGCTTATTAATTTATTGAAAATAAGATCAAATAATAAAGTGGAGGGGGCACATTTTTTGCTTATAGCATTTAGTGAGCAGTGTTTTATAGAAACCAACCAACCAACAAAATAACATACTAAATACTGCATCTCCTGCTTATTTCGACCGAACAAAACAAAATTTGAAATTCGGTTTCTTATTATGAAAATATAGACTCTAAATCTTTACAATAGGCATTTTCTAGTTATGATAAGTTTTAATGTTCTTTTCACATTTTTTTTTGCTCTTTTTAGATTGGGTCCAAGTAATCCTAAGTTCACAGACATCATTCGAACCAAAAGAGGCTTTCCTACAATTTGCAGAAAGTAAGCTTTACTTAATGCTAACAAAACTGACCATCAACCATTATTTAGATTGAGCATTATGCATCCTATCTGCTTAGATTCTGCTTACCATATTCAACTAAGTTTAACTAAAAAATAATCATAATCAATCAAATTTGCTAATAATTTATTGGTTCACTACAATGTTAATTTAATATAATGTTTTTGGGGGTCGGTAGGTTTCAGCTAAATTCTCCTGCAGTAACTAGCATGTGTATGTATACATTGCCAACTAAAATAAGTCAACTAAAACAGCAATTTCAATAAAAGTTGTACTCACAATTTGATGTAGATAATGCTAGAAAAACTGTCAGGTAATTATTGATTTGTTTTAATTCCTCTTTACTGTGGGAATGAACAAGAAATTTCCAAAAACTTGTTATGTAGGGATTAGAGATATCCATTGTCTGAGAGAGCAGTGAGGAGTTTTTAATCTTTAACTTGATGTAATATGCTCAATATGCTAATGACACTGCAAATTAGAAATTTTAAATATATTAAATAATTAAAAAAACTACAAAAAATATGATAATTAGATATAATAATTTTTAAATAACTGTACAGCTGGATGGCAAACGCTCCAATTAGAGAAATAATCACTCAAATGCCATGGTATGTTAACTACAAAATTTCATGCTCTTACTGATACAGCTGACTTTTTAGAAGTGATTTCGTTAGTTTAATACCTCAAACCATAATAAAAATTAACATATTAATATTATAGGAATATAGGATATAATATAGTATATTAATCAAAAGCTTCAATTTACTTTTGGTTCTTTACAACCTGTATCCAGGTTTTCTACAACGAGTTAAATTATAACTGATGGTTGATAAGTCAAATGTTTTAGTAAAATAATTAAAGTCAAAGGTATTCATTTTAAAAAGTGAATAACACACAACTATTAAGAAAATTCAGAGTTGATTGCAGCCACTGATTATAACATCTAAACAACAATAAAGAATATGGGATAGTTTTTAATCAAACAAGAGCCCCATGGTCAGCAACAATTGAAAGAAAAAAGAATACAAGTTTCCAGTCGAATCATAAAGAATAACCGGTAATGGATTTAAATTTATGTATACAACTGAAGTTACTTACTTCGCTTTACTCAGAATAAAATGGCGAATATTTATTCAAGGCTGGAAAGAAATGATCTCACATTCAAACAAGGACTCTATACAAAAGACAAGTTTGCCAACCAAACAAGTTGAAAAATCTTGATTTTCTTGTAGAAACTAGTTAGAATGTTACTAATTAGAACAAGTAAACATATATTTAAAAAGCAGCTGATAATTGAGATTTTTAAAGATAATCAGTTAATTATTAATCTTTATTAATTATTTAATTATGGAAGTCATAGGCAGTCCTTATTATTCATCTTACATTTATTAAAGAAAAGTCCTCCCCTCCTCATTTTCATATTTGTATCAAAGAAAAGCAATTTGAATTCATAAATCAAAAGCACTTTTTACTATATTGTAGTAAAATAATTATAAGCAAAGTCGTGCTGGCATATTTTCTTTATATCATGAGAAAACTAAGATTTCAGGTTATTAAAATAATTTTCATCTTTCGATTTTTCACAACATTGCAAACTAAAACATGACTCCAGTGATTGATAATGGCTATTGCCTGAATACTAGGATCTTCACACTCCTGTTTATTATTCATAAATTAATGAATAGATTCTCAGCAGTAATAGTTCAGTGTCCATAACAAGTCATTTATTTTTATTTTTTATCGATAACATTACCTTGCCATTCCCCCCATACAAAAGGGGATTATTCAAGAGGTTCAATCAAACCTATTCTAAGGCAGAGAACGCAGTAGATTCATTCCGTGGGTCACCACAAAATAAATTTTAGCCTGCCCAGCCCAGATTTGATCTGTGTCATTACACTCGACATTGTTAAATGTTATGCTTTAACACACTTGGCTGTGATGACATTATATGATTTGGCTTTGATGACATTATATAACAAGTCTCTTGTAGTATTGATGAAATCTTTGATAGTTTAATAAAATATAATCTTGTAAAATGTCTTTTGATCATTTTTTTTTAAGTTAACATTTGAATGTTTTCAATTCAAATATATTTTTTAAAAAGTTATTGTCTTAATAAGATTGTAATGACCACTCTAAGACTGGCATGCATCTAGAAAAATAAAAAATAAAGGTTGATAAGATCTGCTTCAAGGAGACATCAAAGGACAAAAGATTTGGATGATTAGCTGTTTTTAATTAAAATATCTCCAAAGCCTACTTGCTCATGTTATCCTTTAATTAAAAAAAAAGTTAATATATATACTATCATGCCAGATATGAATACATGCATGTTGAAAACATGATGTATTGAATAAAATAAAAATTAGAATTAAAAAAAAAAGTTTCATTACTTCTAATATTTAAATATCAAGGTAGATATTGGTAGAGTATATAATAGATATTTTATTTTTGAATACTGTATCATTTTTATTTTATATAACTTTATCCTTTCCTTTAATGTAAACTGGCTGAATTGATGTAATTCAATTTAAATAAAATGATGAACATAATTAACATTTGGATTTTTTTTTTAAATTTTCAAATCAACACTTCTTTCATGGGAGTAATACGAGATCTAACAAATTATGTGAGTGAGACTTATTTTTGTAGTTTTATAATCCTTAAAGTTAATTAAAGTCTTTCATATTAATTGATTTAGAATGAAATATGTTTTCACAGAAGTAAGATATATATATTTTAAATATTTGTCAACCATATTAATAATGTTATTGTATTTCTCAATGCTCTTCATCTCATTATAACTTAGCCCCCATCATTCCCAGTTGACCTTTAGCCCAAGAAGTACAGATTTAGTCAATATTTAAAACTATTAAAATGTATTACCTAATTTAGCTTTAGTGATTGTCATTGAGCTGGATTGTCATATAAAATCTCAGCTCATACCTTCAGTATAATAAATATTGTCAGAACAAGATCAAGGTCTACAAGGGTAAGTAAGAATAAATGTGTTTGAATATTAATTTCTAAATGTTTTTATATAACCAACAAGACATTAATGGGCAAATACCATGATTAGATCACAAAATGTACTATCTCGCAGAACAAGGATGAAATTGTCAATTTTCACATGGTTTAAATATATACTTTAAAGTGTTATAGTTATCATAAAAAAGTACTTTATCTTAAAAAAAGTAACTAATTATTGGACTTTGAATGAATCTGTGACATCTATTAGGGATCCTAGGTTAGGTAAGTTTTGCGTTTTACTAAAAAAAAAAAATAAAGAATATTTTCATAATTTATCCCCAACTATTTGGCAGTAGGACATTAATGAAGCAATTATGAAAAAAGACGAACAGAGGCCTAATGATGTTTAAAATTAAAGTTGAAAGTTGAGAAATTCACTACCAGGAAGGAATGACCTTATTAAATGTTGTAAACTGATTAATGATAACATTTTATTTCATTCATCAGTATGACACCCTACCTCTCTTTTTTTTTCTTTTTTTCTTATCCCTTCATAATTCAACCACAAACTCCTCAGTTTTGAAATCTATACTTTTCAAAAAGATAGGTTGGACAAATTGACCAATATACCCTAGGGATAATTAAGATACATTCTGTTATTTCAGAGCTTTTTACATTGTAAGTGGACCATATCCATCGATAACTGAGAATAATCTATATACCTGTTTTAATTTGAGGATGGCAGGTTCCAAGACTCAGGCCATCCTCTTGAGAGGTATGACCGATAGGGCCTATCCCATGATCTTGGTGAAACAAGGTTCAAGAATATGTCCAAGTGAGGTAGTCACCTATCTTGGAATTAGGATTGGAAAAAAAATCCAACCTGACGCCTCACATGGATTATTTTAGAAATAGAGTAACCTTAGGCCTTAATGGTCTCAGTCGCATAGGGGATGCCTTCTGGGGCATTAGATATCCAGCAACTATGTCCATTTATAAAGGAGCAATTGTTGGTATCCTGAGATACGCGTGCCCTGCATGGAGCCGGAATCTCTTATACTGTCAGAAACACAGGTTGGCAACAATCCAGCGGATGGCCCTGCTTAGAGTAACCAGGTCATACAGAACTGTCTCATGAGGTGGTGCAGGTCTCAGGAGTAGGTATTCCTATCGACCTCCTGCAGGAAGACCTTTTTCGGCACAATATTAAGAGGAATGGCGGATTTACCAGCGAACATTCGGGAGAGGATTGGTGAAGACCCCAGAAGATGGAGGATGATCCTCTAAGAGGATACATTGAAACAATGGAATCGGCAATGGGTGACAACCCCAAAATGGTCCACACTGAGAAAATTCTTTCCCGCCATTGAATCGCGCCTAGAAAAGAAATGGGTCCTCCCGGACTACTGGATCTCACAGATCCTCATGGCGTATGGTGGTTTCAGAGTGTAACTTTTTAAACATGGTAAAAACATCGATCCCTCATGCCCCACTTGTGGAGTGCCCCACCTGAAACCGCTGAGCACATCCTTGTAGCTTGCACCGGCTATGAAGCACTGAGGGTCAAATTGATGAGGGATACAGGGCTCTACGTTTTAACATTAAGAAACTTAATCCAACTGATGTCTCTACAAAACTACCTGCACTTTAAAAGATTTGTATGCAGGTGTAAAAAAGCTGTGGGCCCAACCCACTTCTCCCTGGGCAGACGTGAAGAACCAGTACCTGGAAGGCCGCTGATTAGGACAGGGGAAGAAGCAAGCAATTTATCATAATGTAAAAAGATAAACTTGCAACAGTGATTTAATATGCATGAATGTGCATCAAGTCACTGCTGCAAACTCCCGTATTGTCTTAAAGGCTGGGTATGGAGGAAAATAAAATAATATACCTGTTTAAATATGTTGATTAAATGAAAAAAAAAATAATTAAAAGCTCTCATTTTTTTTAGGGTAAAAATTTTTATCAAATAAGTATTTTTAATAAAATAAGCCTTCGAAAAAATTAATAATAATGAACTATAGTAAAGTTGTTAAAGCTTAAAAAATATATATTTGATTGTTAAAAATCACTAGAATTGATTGCTAAATGATACTAAAATATATTTTGACAAAAAAAAAAAAAAAAAAAAAAAAAGGGTTCTTGGGTCAATTAATTTCTGAATTATGTCCCTAACATGAACAAGTGTACAAAAATCGTATACAGAAACCCAAGAATAACATAAGATTAATGTTCGAACTTTATTATGGAACTGGTTTGAGAAAAGAGTAATCTGCTAAAAGTATAATCATATTAAAATGTCAACTTTAAAATTCATTTATATGATTCATAACAAAAGTTCACGTGGAGCAACACCAAATAATGGTACAACAGCTCCATTATTATCTTTTGGTAATTATTAAAAGACAAAGCAAAAAAAATAATAAT